AATTTTTTTTAGGTGGCCTCTTCGTATCAGATCTTTGATGGCATCATTTAGAGCCCGGCATTCATTGGTGTTGTGTTCGATTTCCCGGTGAAATCGATAATATTTTTGACAATCTCTTCTGCCAGGAAGCCCCCTCCCAATCCTTTCTGGAGTGGGCAGTCTTTTAGCTTCTCGAGAGACTTCTTATATATGAGTTATATCTTGAGTGAGGGGGTGTACTTTGCATATCACGGGAAAGGTTGCCTTTGCCCATGATTTTCTATTTTTTGCCTCTTTTGGAACCTGTTCTGGTCCTTGTCATTGCGGTCTTGACCCCTCCATTTATTTGTTGGGCGATCTTGTCGCCTGTCTAGGGCTCTTCTTGGTGAGCTTCTAGCTAAGGCTGCTAGCAAGCTTTCCACTCGCTGATGTTTAGCGGCCATTTGATAGAATTTTGCCAGGCTCACATGGTATTCACTTTGGAGTTCTTTCCACAACTCCGTTTGCAGTCGTATGCCTGCAATTAGCAAAGTCTTTATCGACTCTTCAGGTGCATTTGCGACCTTTGCCTGCTCATTTTGGAACCTCATTAAATACGAGGTTAGTGTTTCATCTCTTTCCTAATGAATATTGCTTAGATAGCTGAGCGACATTGCGAATTGTCTCCTTGCTTGGAATTGTTGTAGGTATAACGAGGAGAATTGTTGTCAAGAACTAATCGAGTTCGCCTTGAGCCTTTTGTACCACCTCTTGAAATCCCTTACCAATGTGACTATAAAGCAAGGACATCTTGCCAAGTCACATACCTAATGTAGCTCCATCAGGTCGTTGAAAGAGTCAAGGTGGTCTCTAGGATCCTTTTTCCTGTCGAACTTGCTTTCTAACGCCCTAAATCCCTAGGGAAGCGGGGTTTGAAACTTTTTTCTTGTACTTGAAAGTAACATATGCTTTTCTATGTTTTGCAATGATTGCAAATGGCCTCTTCAAGCAGCTGTGCTTGAGAATGTTTCCGCAGTTATCTAAAGTTGATCATGTAGTTGAACCAAGCTGCAGGTTGAAAGAGAGACAGAATAGAGATTATACCTTTTTAGCTCGAGGTTGTACAACATTTCCTGTCAGAGGACTGATTTTTTCGCCAATCTATGCTTCCAGCACTGATAATTATCCAGAGGAAAGCATTCACAATACTCTGGAACCTAGCGATAAAGTTGCAAAGAGAGCTTCATACTGGTCAAGTAAAGGACATAGCAATCCTGTTGTGCCCGAGACACTGATCTATAAGTTGGTTGGTGATCTATGTGTTATTTCTGAAATCAACATACAACCTTTCCATGGCATCTACACCTCAAGTTTCAGCCATGAAGCTTCATCATTGGTAGGCAGCCATTTTAACGTCGTTCCACCACGCTTCTTTGATTTTCTCGGGGTGAGAGTCACATAAAGTTAAGAAGGAATGAAAAGCTAAAAAAGATTCATTTCAAGGAATCATAAAAAGAAGACCTTAATATTGATGCACTTCATGATATGTGATAAACTATTAGAGGTAAAAGAGAAAGGATTTTTGTTTCAGTTGGTGACAGTGCATTAGTTTTTTTTTTTTTTTTTTTCCTAATAGGGACGCTTGTCCATAGATCATTTTTGTTTTAAAAATTTATTAATTTAAACTATAGACGAGTGTCCATTCTAGGTGAATGCTCATCCATAGTAAATGAACTCTCGTCCATATAATATGGATGAGAGTCCATTTAAAATGAACAGTCATTCACTAATCATGGACGCTCGTCCATATTTGATGAATGGTCGTTCATTCACGGAATATTTGTTAATGTACTACGTGGTTGCATCTAATCAGGTGACACGTCGTTCGGTACAAAATTTTGGTGTCGGTAGCATTATTGTTAATAGATAAGACCTTTTATCTAATTTATTGATCAATAAAAAGACATTTTATTCTATATTGCGTAAATCATTATTGTAGGTATTGATATATGTCCTTAGAATGGTAGAACCGTGACCAGGGTATCAAGTGTTTCAAATCTTGATAGTGAGAACCCTATGAGTTTATATGGTGATCATTCTAGAAACGTCCATAGCCCTAGTATTATTTTGAAATAAGGGTACAAATAATATGGTAAGGCTATCATAGTGTTGAGTGACCCTGTCAAAAGGCAGTGACCGATCTCACTTGTCAAGGTTGTTTGGTGACAACCTGGTGCAACACATGGGTACTTGCTGTAAGCAAGTTCACTGAACTAACCCACCAGAGGATTCCATATGGATGGTAACCCCAGTGTCTATGGAACAAATCCTCTAACAAATGGTGGTGCATGTGATCCTTAGACTTGAGATCACCAGAGCGTCTTGTGCACCGATTGGTGCAGTTTGACACTAGCCTAATGCAGTTCTATTTAGAGCTATCAATATGGTAGTGAGTGGCTGCATCAAGGAGTGTATCAAGATATGGTGTATCAACAAAGGATTCATCACTCTCGGATACAGGAGAAGTTATCTCACGACGCAATTCAGTAAATGGCAATGACACTAAAACTGTAGTCACAGTGGGATTGAATTGTTACTCTATCCAGATTATTATTTCGGTTATTGGTCTAGTAACTGAATACATACATATCGAGAGTAACTGAGGTTGACACTATTTCTATGTCTCGGTCTCGTTGAGATAATAGATGATGAAAGGATTGGATTGTATGGTAACCATATCGTTAACAGGTAATTGCTTCGCTGAATCCGAATCTATCAGGTGGCCATGATGCCTTGCTAGGGTTCAATCTTGGTCTGTGTATAGTGAGACGATTAATTAGTGTTAATCGCGATACTGTACACTACCGTTATGATAAGGAGCATACGGGTCACACACACAGAAGATAATTTAAGAACTAGTTTATAAGAAGGGCATTTTCGTCTTTTTAAGCAAAATGGTATTTTGGTAATCTCACAGTTCAATTAAATTTGCTAAGGTCGTAGCCTTTATTTAATTTTATATTAAAAATTAAATAAGTGAGATTATATTTAAGTATGTGTTCTCATATATTTTAAATGAAATATTGTTATGTTAAATATATTTATTATATAATATATATATATATATTATATATATATTATATATAATATATATATATATATTATATTATATATATATAAAATTTAATTTATTTATTAATTGAAATAATAATAATAATAATAATTAAATATCTAAATAGGGCTGTTTGGACATAAGGGTTGTTTGGGTTGATGCCCAAGCCTATTCTATAAGGGAATAGGGATTTTGTGCACTACATTAACTGCAGAATTTGTGAATGAAATACAATATTCATTTAATCATTAAGATTAAAAATTCCTGCCCCCTTTCTCTCTTCCACGCCAGATTGCTTTTTGTGTTGAATCAAAATTGTATTGATTTTGTTCTTGATTTTTGAGGTAAAGAAGATCTAGCAAATCCTTTAGTTCTTTGGGGTTATCTTCGTGTAGACTACCGCTAGTTCGATCCTACCCTTGAATCGGTAGCGAACTAGTTTAGGGCATCTCTAACCCACGCCAAAATGGTGCAAAAAACACCAAATTGGCGTGGGTTGGTACCCAACCCACGCCAAACACTGCGCCATTTTGGCGCATGTGCGCCAAATTTGGCGCAGCACTGTAGCACCGCGCCAAAATGGCGCAGCACAAATAAAATTTTTTTTTTAATTTTGATTTTTTTTTTTTTTTTAATTTGTTAAGTTATATGGGTATTAAATTTTACATCAAAAATCAAACCAAATTTGAGTATTGTATTTAATTTAATTTGATTTTATTTATAATAATGATATAATTAAAAAATGATGAAAAATTAAAAATAAAACTTTATTCAATGCAAATATTAAACTACAATAATCTAAAATAAAAATTAACACTAATTAAAAACACTAAAATTAAAGAACATACTAAACTACAGAGGCTCACCATGCTCTTCGAATGCATTAATTGATCATTTGTGGGAAGAACATACTAATTTGGAAAATAAATTACTATCAATATAGAATTTTACCTTTGTGGTTGTTGTTTTTTTTTTTTTTTTTTTTTGTATCATTTTATATTAGATGTAATGTTTTTCTATAATGTTTTTCTATAAAAGTAATGTTATTTGATTAAATAAATGCTTAATTCTATTAAATTAGTATGATTTCAATAATATTATTAATAAAATATATTCCCAATATTTAATTAATATATACAAAATAATGAGTGAAATAAATAATTGTTGATTATTACAATAAAAGAAAAAAAAGAATATTCTAAAGAATATTTAAGGAATATTCTTTTTGGTGCAATATTGGTGTTGTGGATTGGAGATGGAATAAGTGTTGCACAAATTGCACCAATTTGGTGGACATGGGTTGGAGATGGTCTTAGAGATAAGTTGGAGAAGCCTTCAAACGTGTGTATGATCTTAACCAAACTGTTTTTGCGAATTCTAATATAATATATAAATTGTAAATTTGTGTCATAATCTTAGTTCTAAGGAATGATCCATATTGTAAATAATTTTTGTTTTCCGCTGTATGACTTGATCGTTATATCATAATGCTCAACTGACTTCACTCTAGCGTTGGATAAAAACGGTAACTCCAAATATCTACATCTTTTTTGTGTTCTCAAGTCTATAGATATGCCTTTGACTTCAATCTTTCGTAATAGTCAATTGAAATTTTTTTCTTAAAAAAAATGTTTTATTTACATTGCCAAATGCCATATTGTCTAGATACTTAACTTGATTACTACATAAGCAAATTACAAAATGGAGAAGCTTCTCCAAGAATTATCTTTCAACTAGAATGGAGGTCGAATTGAGAGAAGTACACAAGCACAACAAAATAATCAACTAGATTTCGTAATATTGTCATTGGCTCAGCACTTTCTGATTAGTAAAGTGCCAAAGGCAGTTGGAAGAAGTTTAAGCATTAAATATAGTGTCACGGCTCGATTCGGGAAGACGCAAAGACGGAGTCCACCATCAATATGAAGAGTCAGAGCAGTTCTATATGGGACGGTTTACTTTCATCATTGAGCTTGAATTTGTAGCTTCCAAGAGGATCATAGAGAAAATTCATTTGCCTGTAAGCAAAATCCTTTCCTAGACGATTCTCGGACCCCCTGTTCAACACCATTCATCCAATTGATTAGCTTGTCTAAAAAAGAGGTTATTTACTCATGGTTATGAGCAGACTCTTATCTAACCTGGAAGGCTGTGAAGATGAAAGAGCTCTTGGCTGGAAGTGACCCTTTTCACTGAGCCATCTTCTGTCGGAATTCCTCTGCATCATACCCCATAAATCTTTCACCCTGCCCATTGCATAAGGGACAAGTCACATATCTCCTTTTTTCACACAGTAACCATCAGGCAGTGTGTCGTCAGAAAAACAAACCTTCGGATCCTGTGACACCAACCACAAATACTTCTTTCAAACAAAGCCAATGATGGTCTTAATATATTAATCGACCAGGTGTTGGAGGGTAACCCCAAAATCGTATCAAACATTTATGAAAATTGAAATAAAAAATTTTGTGCGTAATTAACAACATTTGTCGAGTTCTACCTCTGCTTATGCATGTACTTACCACCGGAAACTGCGGATAGGTTGAGTGTCTCAGACAAAGCTGCGGGGAGATAGTGATCTTGTCAAGGGTTTCTTATTTACTCTGGCTGCAAGTTCCTCAATGCTTGAATTACTACTCACTTGGGTTGCTTCTATTATTTCTTTTGCAATCTTTTCTTGTATATCAGGGTACTTACAAAGCAAGTAAAAAAACCAAGAAACAGTGGTAGCAGTGGTGTCTTTCCCAGCAATCATAAAATTGAGAACTATGTCCCTCAAGTATTTTGGATCGGTTCTTCAGTTCCAAAAACCTTGACAGAATGTCTTCTCTTCCCCGTAATATTGATTCGTTATTTAATCATACAGATATTACCAAAACTTTGAACTAAAACGCAGATGGTTCAAACTATTGTACCACAGGTGTAAATCAACATGTGGATTATTGAGTTGCTCAATTTTGCCTTTAATTAATTTATATACAAACTCATCAACGACTTTGATATTCTTTCTCAATTCAGCCTCTGATCCAATGTCAGGAACCGCCTAATCTTCCAAAAGAAATCAGCATACGAAAAGAAGTAATAGCATTTGCTTTATCAAAAGCATCAGTGAATCGAGCGCCTTCCTCGTATGTTCTAGACAAACCATCTAAGTCTATACCCAATTGACTTTAAACACAGAGTCTAAGGTTGCTTCATGAAAGATCCTGCAATAAACTCATAATTATAGTGAATCAATCATCAATAAACGGAATTAATACCTCTTCTTGTATATAAAAAGTAATCTTATTAGAAGCTCATACTTGCATGTCTAACGGTCGGTTTGATGCCGAAGCTTCAGATACTATTCGAGCAAGCTTTACAGCAGTGGTTTTAAAGACTACACTGCTAAAGTCCCTCAGAATCTTGGTGGAGAATTCATAGCTTGATAGTTTCCTTTGATGTTTCCACTTGTCTCCGTCTACAGCGAAGATCCCATCACCCAGTAGATCTGTCAAAATGTTATATTGGTACAATCCCTGCTTCCATGGACGTGGTAGAATTAGAATTTTCTGCTAACCATATACTATGTGTTCAACCTTGTTTTGGGTTAAGAATAAAATTACTTAAAAAGTGTACTAGCATATCTTTTTATCTGAGTTTCAAATAGTAAAAACTTATAGATTCAATGTGCAAAATTATTTCCACAATTGATTTCAACTACATCTTTTGGAGGAAAAGCTCAGCCTTCAAACTTTCTGCTTCCATTTGATTCTCAAGATAAACAAATTCATATGGAAAAGAAGAAGATGTCTCCATACAAAATGGAAGTCGGCAGAGCTGTGCTGGTTTCCTTCTCATTCAAACAACTTAGCAGCAATTAAACATATAACTGGAAATGAGTAAAAATTAGAAGAAAATGAAATGCATATATCAATTTGGAATATTTTCATGATTTATTTTCTCAAGTAAAGCTATAATAGGATATTACCTTGCCATAGTTTGGAAAGTTTGTTTTGAGCATGTATTCAACAACTGCAGGGTCAGTGGTGAAAATCTCACTTCTGAACAAAGTAGACAATCTGTACGTTTTGTGTTTGCGTGAAAGGTCAGTCATGAAGTCATGGAGCCTGTAGAAATTGAGTACTTGGCTGAGGTGAGAACTGCCGATTGGGTGATATTTTTTTGCCTTCTGAGGCGATTTTGGGAAACGGAAGAGGATAAATATGGCAGATATTAGAGCTAAAGCCGCTGCTGTGATGGGGATGAAGAAGGAAGAACATTCATTTAGGTCGATCATGATTAAGGTTAAGCAAAGCAGAGAAGAGCAGGAGTGAGATTTCGGATTTGGCTAATCAACCACAAGTCTTATGAGATATATAGAGCAAAAATTCTGCAGTATCATTGTCAAAATTATTTGAGATTTGCGCTATTCAGACTTTTCCTGACAGGCTTTATTATTATTATTTTATCTGGCATTTCCCCACCTTTCATGGGTGGGCCCATTATTTAATTTATTAGAAAACAATTAATAATATGCACGCGGACAAATAACAAGACAAAAAAAAAAAAAAAATCTGACAGAATTAGATGACATAAATGCCCTCCAAAATGAAAGAATACTGATTTTATACCCCAAGAAAAAAAATAAATAAAAAAAATAAAGAAACACAAAAGCATTGCATCAATTTTATATAACATAACCACCACTCGGTGGCACACGGATCAATTAAAAATTTTTAATATATTATTTAAGATGTTTTGAGTTTGATTCACTTGAGTTATTAATAGGGGTAGTTATTGAGGGAGTTTACTTGACTGTTAACTTCAGGATCCCAAAATATTAATTGAGGTGCGTACAAACTGAACTGATCAACAAAAAAAAATTATTTAACATGACAGTTAATTTGAAAATATGTTTAATCCAAAATACAGAACATGCTGATTTTACCCAAAATAAAAAAATTTGCATTGATAAAACAATTTTTGAACTCTTTCATCTAAAAAGATCACTAATTTGTACGACATTTAATCATAAAGTCTATTTTTTTCTTTATCAAACAATTTCATAAACTTAAACAATAAAAACATGAATATATGTTTACACCGTATGAAGATATATATGTATAGTCATTTTTATTACCTGTCCACATTTAAAAATTGAAAAACAACTATACTTTAATGAAAATGTTTTTCATTTTTTTTCATAATATCTTTTCAATCTATAAATAGAATTATAAAAAATATATATTAATTTAAAAAAAAAAAGGCCCATCTTTTATTACTATAAATATAATCAACTTCTAATTTGTGATATCAATTTATCAACTACAAATTAAATAATTCAATACTCTTTCACGTAGTCAAGTGATTTTGAGGGTGTTTTTATAGCATAAGAACAATTAAAAAATGAATTATATGGATTTATTGAACAATTCCTTATCCCAAAATAAAAAGAGGTGAAGAAATTTCATTTTAAAATAATAATATCTTATTAAATAATTAATAAAAATAGTTTCTTTTGTTATTAAGAATGCAATATGTCACTTGTGATGTTTTTATTATTATTATTATTAATGAAACAAAATTATTTGGTTGTTAATTTTAATATAGACTAGTGATACATGAGATTGTTAGTTGTTGAAAAATCTAATTCAAAATTGAATTAATTTCATTCATATGTAAATGAAAAATTAATATTTAAAATGATAAAATTATATAAAACAAATTAAAAAAAAAACTATATTATCCAGTAAATAATAAGGATTGCAATACTAAATCCATTAAAATAATATGTTAGTTAAGATATCTATTCATAATGTCATCAGATCACTCATTGGAATGTTACAAGTAAAGGTCAATGTGTTAATCCTTATGTTGATTGTTTTTTAACCTAATAAAAAAAATGAATTAAGGAAATATAAAACATCATGATTCAATTATTTAAATAATTTCAATTATCATTGATTTATAAAATACTATAAATGAAAGAGATTTATGTAACTACTTTAATTAATGGATTAAAATGAATTTGTGATAAGTGTAATTAATAAAGGTTGATTTACGTCACTAATTAATTTATTATTTGATGTTTGAAGCGTATGCATCTGCGTCATATTTGCATAGAAGCTTCTTTGGATAGAAACTCAAGCCGTGTATCTTTAAATGCAAACTTCCGCTGTTTGACTTTTATAACCACTAATGGCTTAAGATAGAATAATCACAGGTCCACCCCCACTCTCGTAACCCTCTTTCACAATTTTCGACCCGATAATTTATCATTAATCAGCTTATAAAATAGATTACTTCTGTTTGTATGGTCCAGTTAATTGACAAATTAACCAATGACAAACTGTCACATCATAAAAAAATATTGTGGACCTAACATTATTATCAAAAATAATATTGCATTAATTTATACATCAATATATAATTTTTGCAACCCTAAGAGTTGGTTTGATGGTCAAGAAAATTTACTCTCTCCGTTGAGTTTTTTGAATTCAAACTTTAGGATCACCTACCACAATAATATTATTGTTTACTTGATTCTTTGTGTTTATAGGTTGTTCAATAGGCTCTGAAGATTAGTTAAAATACGCACAAAATAACTCGAATACCTTAGTTAATAATCATATTAACTATCTATGAGAAGAATTTTCAAATCTTATGAGATTTATAATTAAATTATTATTTTAAAAATTCCTAGTGAATCATGTGAAATCATAAATCAAAGTTGGAAGGATAATGGCAACGAATCCAGCCTATCGAGGGAATTAATCAACGCGAGAAATGCTGTGATTTGATTTTACTTTCAATTGTACCACAAAAAATAACGTGTAACCAAATATATGATTAACTATGTTACTCTTATCTTAATATATATGCTCGTGATTAAATTTAAATCATAATCATCTAATTTAATTATTTCAAAGCTATATTTTAATACCTGTTTCTATGTATAAGGATATTGTTGATGCGTGATTTTGACACCAACGAAATGCACGTGTGAAATGTTGAGTTGGCCCGAAAGACACACGTGAATGGAAAGTAAAACGACACTAAATGCAGTGAGATAGGAGTTTTAAAGTGGTTCAGATGCTAAGGAAGCAAATCCTATGTCCACTGATGTTTTTATTAATGATAATGGTCAGGTCGCTTTAGACGACTGACTTTACACTGATGATACAAGGTATCAAAGACTGTATTTTCTAGAGAGAGAGAGAGATAGTTTTGTCAAGAGTAAAATGTGCGAATCCCCTTAATGAGAGAGGAGCTCACATTTTATAGTGGGATGCCTTGAGGTAATGATCACTGAATCTGTAAGTTGGTGGGATGATCCGTACAAATCCTTCTTTTAGAGCAATTCACGTGATTTGCTGTAGGGATTGGACAGGCAGGATCATCACAACTCCTTGCTGGCCTGACGTGCACCCATTACTCTAACGAAAGCAAGCTGTGGGGTGCAACCATGATCACACGACGCAGCCGCGCCAGAATGGCAGTAGACTCTTCCCAAGGTCTGACCTTTTGCACTTAACCGGGCGTCATGTCAGCCCTATGTTCCCAGGCATAACAGAAGTCCCCTCGTTTTTAAGGTTTGAGAATCAAACCTTGGAAACTACAAGTCATGCCGCAATTGGATGATTCCTGGAGATTCTGAAAATTCTGAAAATTCTGGAAATTCTGACCTGTCTGAAAGTAGGTCGAGACGACACTTTTTCGAGAACGACCTCGCATGTTCATTGTTTGCAGGGGACGAACAACCTGATTTCGTCAGACGTCACCTGTTGTTCTTTTAATATGGGTGCATTTAATGAAGCAGTCCCTGCACTGACAGATGTGCCCTGTGCGTGATAAGTGCCAGCCAGATGCATTAAATGCGTTGTACGCTGACACAGTGCGCCTTATCAGGACATTAAATGAGCAGTACGTTGGAACGACGCCCTTTATCAGAGCATTAAAAATAGATTTGAGACGCAATTAATGCTCTGAGGAAGAGAGATGGCCGTCGTTTGAGCTTTTCAACGGAAGAGATGAAGGTTTGACTTTATCCAGTCGTGACGCTTACTCTTCCCCGCTGATGCGCGACACATGGCCGTGATCAACTGTGAGAAACCTTTGCCGCCCAAGCACCGTTTCGATTCTAAGAAATCGAAACGCCGATTCATACGCTATAAAAACCTCGAGTCGTTCTCAAGCAATGTCACCAGAGCCTTTTTCTTAGAGAGTAAAAGATTTTCGCAAACTTGGAACCTCTGCCTTTCAAACCAGCATTTTTCCAGCATTCGAAGCAGAAGCTATTTTCATACTCCAAGAGGTAAGAGCTTCTCCCTGTCTCTGTTTCGTTATTTTCCATGGTTGAATGGCGTCTGTCTTCCGGTAGCCTATCACAGACGAGATGCTTAGGTCAGGTTCGAGCTATGAATGGCGGCTCAAATCATGCTGTTAGGGTTTCCTTTGGAATTTAGGGAGTTCGTTTCCTCCCACATCATCGTACGAAATAGCATACGGCGGCTAAATGACCATTCTGCTTGTTGCTTTGGCAGACCAGTAAAATGGACCCCTCAGCAACCAGATCCGAACAGGGAACCGGTTCGTCCCCACAGGGTGCTCCAAGCATCCCTATCGAGGTCTTCTCAGTTCTTACCGGGGATGAGCTCGAGAGGGTAATAAAACAGTACGGCATCGAGGTAGATGCTTTTCTCGACATGGCACACTCATCGCAGTACCCGCTAAGTGGTCTGTCCACGGTCTCCGAGGAGATCATCAAGGGTGGGGGACTAATCCCCTTCCACCCTTTCATCAGGTCGCTTTTGGACCACTTCGGGGTCGCGCCGATGTAGCTGACTCTGAACGCGTACGTCATTGTCATTGCAATGTACATCGTGTGCCAAGAGAACGGGCTAGGCGAGCTGACCGCGATGGAGGTCGGCTGCTCGTATTATTTGAAAAAAAGCAAGGCCAAGGACTCTTACTACTTGTTCAGGCAACCTACTATCGCCGATGGGATACACAGCTACCCGAGCAATGCGGGAACCTATGAAACGAAGTTTTTCTTCTTTCATTATGACGGCCATTGCCGCTTCCAGAAACCAAGTAGGCTTTTTTTTTTTGACAAATTCATTGCACTCGAAATATGTTTTTCTAACGACCTGACTCTTTTCTGACAGTTAACAAGACGACCGACCTAGGGCTGCTCTTCAATAGAAGTAGGATCGTGCATTTCGGCTCCCTACCCAAGGACAAGCGCGACGCGAGGAAACTCGTGATGACTGCGAGTTTGCGAAAATACGGTTTCTT